GTTTGTTTGTTTGTTTGTTTGTTTGTTTGTTTGTTTGTTTGTTTGTTTGTTTGTTTGTTTGTTGTTTTGTTTGTTTGTTTGTTTGTTTGTTTGTTTGTTTGTTTGTTTGTTTGTTTGTTTGTTTGTTTGTTTGTTTGTTTGTTTGTTTGTTTGTTTGTTTGTTTGTTTGTTTGTTTGTTTGTTTGTTTGTTTGTTTGTTTCTTCCTTCTTCTATTTGTTGATTGTCGGGAGGATAACTGGATAATTATAAGAGTACAGAACAGTAATAATGATAATTAATGATAATAATAATAATAAATAGTTTGTGACAGTTTGTATGTTATTTACAGATCAACTATATACGTTTACTTCACATTGACAATACCTGAATAAGTTTACAAAGACAAGTTGTAATAGCAAAAAAGAACAGGACTTTTGTTAATTAATAAATATAGATAAATAACACACAATGAGTATTAGTTATAACTACTTACACGGCGGATTCAATCGAGTTTTATATGACTAATAAATAATTTGAAAATCATCAGATAACTTATATATAAACTTATTTAATTAACTTTGATATATAAACAGTGACTTATTGATTAATCGTCATTTGTGTCTTATATATACACTTATATATGCACGCAACCGTAACCCTTAAGGCGCGATTTTTTAGTTCAGTTTTGAAAGTTAATAAAACAGCCAATGAGAGGAAATTTTGAAAGATATGTAGACCAAATAGCTCAAAATGTTGTAGCGCTTCTAAATATTTGGAAAGTTCAAACTAGGATCAAAGTTATCGGTCAGTGAAAATCGAAAAATCGCGTCGCGTTGTCGAATCGCGTCCGGTGTGTCTGGACCTTTACAGACCTTTACTGCATTTGCAATAAAACGCGCGCCGAATGTTTTGTTTGCAAGCCCAAAGCAATCAAACGTTTGCTAAGCATGATTATACAATTACTTTATGGTTTCCGTGTTTGGATGGCCTGATCCAAACACGCGGGAATGTTGCGAGAGTTAAGAAAAGCGAGCGAAACACGAGCCGAAGGCGAGTGATTTTGCCCGCTTTTCTTAACTCGAGCAACATTCCCAAGTGTTTGGATCAGTCCATCCAAACACGGAAACCATAAAGTAATTGTTTTATAAAATAACAACAACACGGAAGTCTTCCGTGTTTGGATGGCCTGATCCAAACACGGCTTTCGACCAATCAGAATACGCGTTATATACATGTTATTTTATAAAGTAGAATACCGCTAGTTACAGTATAACTTCTTCAATAACCTCATATATTACGTCATCAATATTGTTAATAAGTTTCACCGTTTTTCACTTTGATACACTCAGATGGATTGCGCGTTTTCACGTTTCCTTGAACATTTTTTCTAATTTCGACCCATTCGAAGAAATTCCCCGGAGTGCTCCAACATCGGTTAGCCAACGTACGAATCATACCGGCAGCAAACAGCCTTCGATATATTTGTAACTGAGAAAGCTCACCAACAAATTGGAATCTAGGCTCGCTTATCTTTTTGTAGCCGCTTTGTTGGGCGCCAACTACGAGAAAGGCATCGGTTGCTGTGATCGAATATGTTGAGACGGTGCTTTTCAGGATTCGTTCACCATTGTGAAACACATACAGGTTACCAGCGCTTGACGAGTAGGCTATCACGAAATGTTGCCATTTTCCAACAAGACTAGAGAGCACCAGTGATACGAAACTGAAAAATAAATAGCTCGATTTGCACACACGTAAAAATCTCACAACTTGTCAACAAGATGTGTTCGCAACAGGTTTGTAGCAAGCTTGTCAACAAGTTGTAACAATGCTGTTATTTTGTCAACTTTCTACAAGATTGTCACTCACAACTTGTTGACAAATTGTTGAATTGCAGGACGATAACAAGTTTTTGGAACAACTTGTAACAAAGCTGTTGAACTCAACAACCTTGTAGCAAGTTGTCAACAAGCTGGGAACAAGCAGTGCGAACACATCCTGTTGACAAGTTGTTGGAACAACATTGTTACAAGTCTGCTGCAGGTTTGTTAAAATGTGTACGCTCGTCTTGAACTGAACGTAATCACACAATTGCATATTGCATAACATTTCACATCTTGTAGCAAGTCTGCCAACAAGTCGTCAACAAGTTGTGTTCGCGCTGCTTGTCCCAAGTTGTCGACAAATATGGAACAAGCTGTAGACAACTTTTAACACAACCTTGTTGATATTATCAGTTATAACAATATTGTTACAACCTAGCTTGTGTCGTCAACCTTGTAACATTATTGGTATATCATGACTGTATCAAACTTGTTAGAACAATCTTGTAACAAGTCGGATAATGCCATCAAACTTGTTCCAAGTTGTTGACAGCCTGTTCCAAACTTGTTACAACAACTGGGAACAAGCAGTGCGAACACAACTTGTTGACAGCTTGTGAACAGATTTGTAACAACTTGTTTACAGACCTGGAACAACTAATTAATATAATTGTTTTTGTTTGTGGAAACACCACGTAAATTTATTACTGCAAACTAATTAATAGTAGATTACCTCCGGTTTCCATGAAGATAGGTCCACATTCCAGTGGTTCCAAAATGAACACTGAACTCGTTCACTTGACTTGGTACAGCGTACGAGATCAAAGTGAATTCATTTGATGAAGACGGAATTTTGATCCAAAACGCGGCCGTGATCGTTTTGAAGGTAGTTGTGAGTGAACTTGTCATGGAAATCATGTTCTTAATGCTTGGATCTGCTTCTGGGAATATCAGGTCAAACTCACCTGTGGAATACAAGTTCAGGATGAAAAATTTGATGCAACTTAATTGTTAACAAACAATGAGAGTTGATGAGAGTTGAAATTCACGAATTGTTACAGGGGCCATTTTAAGCTCTAGATCAGGATAGGGTGCGCACCCCCCCCCCCTCCCCGAGGAGTCCAACACCACCCTAAAAGAATATACTTGACCATACATTTTCTGCTTTTCGAATAGCGGAACTTCTAATGTTTAGTGTGTGTCGATTTCTTGAAATGATTCTATGGATTTTTGAGCTCACGAGAAAATACTCAGAATGCTTTAGTTTAAATATCATGGTTAAAAATGTAAACATGTCAAGGTTGTTATACAGCCATATTTTCAAATTTACTGTACTGTGCTACAGTAGCAGTCACGCATATGTGATAAAAAGCCGATGTATAAACTTTATAAACGAAAGATAATGTAAAACATAACAGAACAGCGGACATGCAAATTCGGTCATCTCAAATAATGGTAATGTTGGGATGGTAGCGTTAAAGGCTTCATCATGCACCACCCCATGGAAAACCTGCACCCCGCCTTGCATACGAGGCTAGATCCGCGTCTTCTCTACATTAACAAAATAAAGGTTTGATAAGTGTTCCAACTATTTTTTAACTTAAATAGAATACATGATGGTATTGGGAAAGCATTAAGAACAGGGGCCGGTCGTATAACACTCTTAATCACTTTTTAATCACTATTTTGTAGTTAAATAGTGATTAATTGTCAAATACGCGCTTCTTATTGGGTGACGTTTCCACTAACTATAGTTAACTTTAATCACTTTTTTATACAACCAGGCCCAGCTAACCATGGTCGCGTGACTGGCAAGTCTAACCTGGTCTGTTGTGACATTTCGATGGAGCAGACACTACATAACCTGCCTCCTCGACACTTTTCCATGAAAACAGATCGCCAGCAGCATTTCCAGGATTCAAAGCCAATGTCACAATTCTATTCAGAGAAATCTCAAAGGACCACAGGTTAAGACTTGTGATATCACCATCAAAATCTTCATCGCCAATCTTAAGTGCACCATTAATGATTGGTGGCAAGGACTGCGTCTTCAGGACATCTGTAATCTCGGACATTTGATTGCCATTTTTATAGAAGAGAAGGTTTCCTGTTGAACTTCGCCAGTACCATAACATATGAAACCAACGGGTGTCAGTTATAACATTTGCAAAAGACCTAAATTGGAAAAGAATGGCTCGATACATCAGATTTAGAAAATATATTTCTCTTCAAAAAAAAACTAACCTCTCAACATCGCCATCAGCTTGAAATTTATAGCCTTTGTTACCATCGTCTTGTATTACGCCCAACACTATGTTGCTGGATTCAGATTCAAGTGCAAAAATATCTGCGCTTTGGATAGCGCTATCAACTCGGATCCACATTGCCAAAACAAATGTTTCAATTGGACGTTCATATGAAATATCTACTTCCACAGTAGCGTTCTTAAAGAATTGCAAATCGTAGTTCGCTAAAAGAAAACGATTGTTTTAACACGTATCTCAAACGTGGTGGTCCACTGGTCCATGCAATGTATGTAGTATTCTACAATAAGCTGCCGTGGTTTGTGTCTGAACTACCTGAAAAAGATATCTCAAACGTGGTGGTCCAGTGTAGGTAGTATTCTACAATAAGCTGCCGTGGTTTGTGTCTGAACTACCTGAAAAAGATACCTCAAACGTGGTGGTCCAGTGTAGGTAGTATTCTACAATAAGCTGCCGTGGTTTGTGTCTGAACTACCTGAAAAAGATACCTCAAACGTGGTGGTCCAGTGTAGCCGTGTAGGTAGTATTCTACAATAAGCTGCCGTGGTTTGTGTCTGAACTACCTGAAAAAGATATCTCAAACGTGGTGGTCCAGTGTAGGTAGTATTCTACAATAAGCTGCCGTGGTTTGTGTCTGAACTACCTGGACAGATATCTCAAAGTGGTGGTCCAGTGTAGGTAGTATTCTACAATAAGCTGCCGTGGTTTGTGTCTGAACTACCTGGACAGATATCTCAAAGTGGTGGTCCAGTGTGGGTACTGTTGTAGAAAAATAGACCTACCAATATCTGGTTCGTCGCTCGGTGCAATCAAAGGAGAATTACTGTTGGATTTCGTGTGGTAAAACTTTTTCCAGTCGACACGAAACGGCTCCGAATTTAACATGGCAAATTTCGGTTCGTTGACAACACGAAGAATCTCAAATTCATCAAGACTTGAAGTATCTTTGATATATAATCTTGTCAAGTATAGATGAGATCCCGAGCTTATGTTGACAACACCAGGAGAAGTTTGGTCAAAGGCAGGCACCAATGTCCCAGTTCCTTTAATGGTAACTTCATGCGATAAAACAGTGGTCTTTTGAAGCTGCAAGCTGTTGATAAAAAAACTCAACTTGGTTTTGTCAGATAAGATAAAACAAAGATGAGTCCATTCGTTTTCCGATAGGCTGCTGTCGAAAGTTCTAAAATATACAATGTTCAGTTCATTTTTAGTGGTTTCGCATGTATATGTATAGTTTGTTGGGTGTTAGTCTAACCCAAGTTTCCTCCTGCAGTAACACTGGATCAATACGAGATATTTTTACTAGATCTCTGGGAAGGATCAACTGCCCAGTAGTAGCATGGTATGGTATGGTACTGTACGCAATGGCAGGGCATGGTATATGGTACGATATATAAACAACACGATCAACCACGACACTTACACAACTTGACCTCCCAAATGTAGCACGACATTCGTTTCATTAAACAATAGCGCCATTTCCCTGGGATTACTATCTGTGGCATAACTAAACACTACACCATCACTAGAACTTGGCTTCACCCAGACATACACAGCGAGATATTGGAAATCTTCTCCCGTCACTGACACTGACGTGTGATGATTCATTGTACTCCCGTGGTAGTTCAGAAGAAAATTCCCTGCAGAGAATCACAGCAAAGTTCAGCACAAAACATAATATAACAAACAACACATTGGATACATGAATAACTAGATATTAAATTTGAGAATATACACATAGATAAAAAGAAAATAAGGTTGGAGGTTTTGTCAACAAAACAAGAATCCTATTTCCAGACCAAGCCAAGATAGACAACAATAGTTAATAGTTAAGAGGCAATTTTTTTCAATGTCACGTATTTGCAATGAAAAGTGTTCAAAACCTAAAATCTTTTTGGCGTTCCTCTCAAAATTACTTTGTTTTAGCGTTATTCTCTAGTTTATACAGTTAGCAACCTTTTTAAATGCATCTGCCGGCTGGGAAACATAAAATAATAGTTAAAAATTGTCAATTAAAATACTATTATCAATGATGCTTTAAAATTGACGCCATAGTTACAGCCATATAAGCAAAACTAACTGAACTTCAGACATCATTTTCTCTTTGGCGTATCATCTTGTTTGCCGATTGAGGAACGTATCGAAAAATAAAAATTTTGAATTTAGTCATAACCTCAAGTGAATGAAGTGATATATTATACACATTAGTTTTAAGCGCGTGTTACGTAACATACAAAAAAATCTCTTCTTAATAGTTATACATCAACATTTTGTTGGCATCACACTCGATTGAATAATTGTCGAAAAGTGTTGCAGATGGAAATTATCAAGTGGAAATTTATATACATTAATTAGACCCAACCAGGAACAGCCGCAAAAAATGCAACTTTAGGTCCCTGACAGCATGGATAATAAAATAAATGGATAGGAAACTAGCTGACGTGACCTAATGTTTTTACTGGGATTGATGGCGTGGTTGGATGCCTCAACCATTCTGTGCCTCAACCTAGTTGAAAATCAAATTCTCAAAAACGGCATGTTTAGCAATAATACAGCTAAACATTTTAGTCAAAGAGCAAATGAATGTAACCACGCCATTCTACGATGAAAACTCTAAGTATTCCCAGTCAATTTTAGTAAATATCTCAAGCACTAAACAGTGAAAACTACATCGCAAATTTCGTTAAAATTTGTGACGCCAATTTCGTAGCTACAAATGTAAAAAAATACAAAACAAAGACGAAAAACATTTACCTTGAATACTTTGTCGTGGCTTAGGCATGTTTTTAAAACAATTAGACCAGTTTACGCTTCAAGATCACCCTTTTAAAGTGGAAAATATAGCAAAACAACAAATATGCCGAGAACTTTGGTAACATTCGCAATACGCGTGACGTCACGTTTTTCAACAAGGATGCAGTCAATGACGTCAGAAGTTTCCAATCCATTTATTTTATTATCCATGCTGGCAGGAATGAAACCTGCGATAACTAGGAGCGATAATTGCATTCGATTGACTTCAAAGGTGGATTCAAGTTTAGAAAGGTAGTGAGAATACATATTGTGTTTGAAATAGAGGTACATTCAATGATATGAGCAGGAAGACTGTTCCAAAGAAATACAATCCGGTTAAGAAATGAGTCTCTAAAAAGAGAAGTTCTGCAAAAATTAAGAGTTAGTAACCTTTGTTGGTTTGAACGAGTGCGAGAAACAGAGTCTGAAGAGAAAGTGAGAAAAGAAGAGACATCTAGATCATAAAGATCTTGTAAACACTTGAAAAAGAAGAGACATCTAGATCATAAAGATCTTGTAAACACTTGAAAAAGAAGAGACATCTAGATCATAAAGATCTTGTAAACACTTGAAAAAGAAGACACATCTAGATCATAAAGATCTTGTAAACACTTCAAAAAGAAGAGACATCTAGATCATAAAGATCTTGTAAACACTTGAAAAAGAAAACACATCTAGATCATAAAGAGATCTTGTAAACACTTGAAAAAGAAGACACATCTAGATCATAAAGATCTTGTAAACACTTGAAAAAGAAGAGACATCTAGATCATAAAGATCCTGTAAACACTTGAAAAAGAAGACACATCTAGATCATAAAGATCTTGTAAACACTTGAAAAACAAGACACATCTAGATCATAAAGATCTTGTAAACAGTTGAAAAACAAGACACATCTAGATCATAAAGATCTTGTAAACACTTGAAAAAGAAGACACATCTAGATCATAAAGATCTTGTAAACACTTGAAAAACAAGACACATCTAGATCATAAAGATCTTGTAAACACTTGAAAAAGAAGACACATCTAGATCATAAAGATCTTGTAAACACTTGAAAAAGAAGACACATCTAGATCATAAAGATCTTGTAAACACTTGAAAAAGAAGAGACATCTAAATCATAAAGATCTTGTAAACACTTGAAAAAGAAGACACATCTAGATCATAAAGATCTTGTAAACACTTGAAAAAGAAGACACATCTAGATTATAAAGATCTTGTAAACACTTGAAAAAGAAGACACATCTAGATCATAAAGATCTTGTAAACACTTGAAAAAGAAGACACATCTAGATCATAAAGATCTTGTAAACACTTGAAAAAGAAGAGGTCTTTTACTTCTTTGTGAAGAGATGTGACGGATACAGTTGAAAGAAATCGTGTCAGGATCAGGGATGCCGGAAGTTGCTGAGGGCAAGGGGTGCAATTGGTTAACAAAAGGACACCAATGAAAATGAAAGGGCGGCATGATCCAACATTCGTGTCGACCTCCCTCCCGCTTACCAATTTTTTTTGGACCGAATGCAATTATTTAGGCACAATTCCTCCGTAATTTCTCACCAAAAATTCCATAAGTAATGCTTTCCCAGCTCACCTTTCGCCAAATGGATAACAACTTTGCCGACTTCCTGACAACTGGGGGGTAGAACACTCCCACACACATCCTCGAGCGACGTTTAATCCTGTCTGTTGTAAAAGTTTTGTGCACCGGTTGCACCCATAGTCTGCACCCACACTGCACCCACAAAGTTGAAAATGCAAAAGGCAAGGGGTGCACTTGCACCCGCTGCACCCGTGGTTCCGGCATCCCTTGTCAGGATTGTGGGCGTCTCACTGGATATAACTAATTGTTGACGGGTTTTGTAAACGGAATTTTATACATTTCTTAGATCTAACCAGGAGCAGTTGTGAAAAATGCAACTATAGACCCTCTGGCAGGAATCGAATCTGCAATTCCGGTGGAGTGCTCTAACTGATGAACCCATTTAAATGTTAAATACCCTCCCCTCAACCTACTGTAGCAGACTTAATTCTGTGGAAAGGGGTAACGCTCTATCTTCAGTCGTGTTAACATACCAGTCTTTGGTGATTCACAAAATGTTCCAGTAAAGGAGGCAGGACATTCACAGGTGAAGGACATCCCACAAGTCTCCTTGCATGTTCCGCCGTTCAGACAGTCAGCGGTTTCACACGTCAAGTTTTTGGTCTGAAATAAGAAGTTGTTCTCTCATGCACAATAAATTCATCCATATTTACAGTGTTGTAGAACTTTATTTCATGTTGGGTGGATAATTCTGTCAGTTCTAAATTGCTCCCCCTAGAGTTCTTATTGATCCAGTGTTACTACAGGAAGAAACCTAAACTGAATTAACTTTATTTATACTGGATAACTCTATCAGTTCTAAACTGTTCTTCCTAGAGGTCCAGTAAGAATCATCTCTTATTGATCCAGTGTTACTACAGGAGGAAACCTAAACTAAACTAACTTTATTTATACTGGATAGCTCTATCAGTTCTAAACTGTTTTTCCTAGAGGTCCAGTAAGGATCATCTCTTATTGATTCAGTGTTACTACAGGAGGAAACCTAAACTAAACTAAATTTATTTATACTGGATAGCTCTATCAGTTCTAAACTGTTCTTCCTAGAGGTTTAGTAAGGATCATCTCTTATTGATCCAGTGTTACTACAGGAGGAAACCTAAACTAAACTAATTTTATTTATACTGGATAGCTCTACCAGTTCTAAACTGTTCTATATAGAGGTGCAGTAAGAGTCAGTCTTGATGAACTCCTAGAACTGGATTGGTTGACTATTACAAACCTCCAACGAATCTATTGCCTCATAATACTGGAATCCATCCTCTCGTACCAGGCTCCCAGGTCGCGCTGCTGATCTTGATTTAAAATTCAGTTCACATTTGTGTAGAAGAACACCGCTGACTTGAAAGTTATACGAACTACATTGTGCATCATTCATACATGCTACGACACAGTCTTGCAGTGCGTGGACGTCTTGCGAGGAAATGGCGTAATTCTTTAAGCGGGCATCTATATACAAAGTTAGCCAACGCAAAATGTAAAGTTTAGTTCATTGAGTTTCTCCCTCATTGGTGAGCGGATTTCCCAACAGGTTATTGACCAATTGATAGGGGATCCGAGGTACTTACGATTTAACGTCCTTATCCGAGAAGACGCGAAAGTCTAACCATTTACTGATGTCAATGTCTTCATAGCTCTTTCTCCTCAATTATTTTAAGACCTTGACTAGAGGTCCGAGCAAGGATGGAACCCGAGTCTCCCAACAAGAATAGAATTTGGTTTTGGTAAAAGGTGTGGCAAATTTCGCCAGAATAAAACGAAAACCGTAATTGAAAACAGCTTCAACGTACCAAGATAACAAAATCTACTCACTGTCTAGTACGCCTTTAAACAATCCGTCACTTCGACATTCTCCACCGAACACTGGATCCCCTAGTTCACTGAGAAATACCACTATTATCCACGACATACACAGAAGACTCCAAACGCCCTTACACATCCTCATATCTAAATAGTAAAAAATATTCGAGTATTATTTTAAAGTAAAGTTAAATCTTGTTCACAGTAGGAATTTTGTGTGATCACAGTAGGAATTTTGCATCGCCATCGGTAAATTCTAAGTTTTGAAGGATTTGTAAGAAATGTTTGAGGGAACTGAGTAACTTTTTAAAACTAATTCATATTTTTTTTCTTATCTGTAACGTCATTTAAAATAATTTACATGAATTGCCAACGCCACGATCATTAATAGCATTCGAGACAGTTTCCAAAAGTGTCGATTGTCATTTGTCCAAAAAAAAATTTAGCCCGTTTAAAATTCACTTAAACTTAAGCGATTTGTCTGTACAAATGGAATGGCAAAAATTAAAGATTTAATCAAATAGATTGATGTGAATTACTATATAAACAAGAGGCTTTTAATAAAATAAATATATTGCTAGGACCCTTGCAACACTACATGCGATGTAGCAAATTATAAAAATCATGGCTTCATCATTTTATGAAACTGTTAACTCGCCTTGCATTTGATTGAAACACAATTCCACAACGAATTTCCTGTTAAACTTCTGGAAATTCCCTCTATTCACTTGCGATGTTTGCTGCAATAAAATTCTTTAAAAAGCATGTTACATTGAACTCGTTTACCTCTTCTGAAAAACAGTTTCCCCTTACACATAATTTCTAACATATTTCCTAACACGATAAAATATTTATTGAAAAATACTGCAATATCTCACCTGTGCCTGTGAGCAATAGCCAATAGCAAGCGTGCGAGAATAGGTCTGAAAAAGCCCACTGTGACAGCAATTGGATTACCTTTCAATCTTAACTATATACAAAATTTCAGAAATCGAACCCAAAAATTTAAGACGTTGTGAAATGATGCAATGTCATATGTGAATCAAATATAAATTTCGTAAAACGTTATTGGTAATTTTATTTTCGAAATTAGTCCTAGCCTTTGAGAATGTCATAATAAGAGTAATTACTATAAATGGCGTCTATAATTTGTTTGCCGACGAACAGCTGTCCAAAATATATTACACTTTTCCCGACATTTAATTATTTCGTTATATTTTATTTTTGTGGTAAACAAACCATGAAAAATGGTTTCCCCCCAAACAGATTACAAAGTCGAAAAGTCGGGCAAATGTTCCACAAAAGTCGGGCAAAAGTCGGGCAAAAAGTAGTCAAAACAAGAAAATCTCTCTTAATAATAACCTCAGTTTGTTGGGCAAACAAAGCCAGTTGGGCAATATTTGCCTCACAGTCGGGTAATATTTAGTTATGATAGAAATAAATGGGACAAATTCTGTAAATTTTGTGGGAAAATTTGTTTGACGTTGCAAAAAATTTTGGTATGTCCGAAATATTTTTTGACTCCTAAAATGGTACACTGACCGAAATTTTTTTGGCGACGGGGGGGGGAGGTCGCCAAAATAAATTGTTCCGGAAAAAAATTTTCGGCACTTGTCGGGCACAATTGGAAAAAGTCGGGCAAATTTCTTTCTGCCCCCCTAATTTTTTCCTTCCCGTACGCCTATGTTTATATGTTTTCTGGTTTCTCACCAACAATGTTTCATGGTTTGCCCACCTTTGGGAAACATGGCTAGGAAACAATGTTTCCTGGTTTGCCCACCTTTGGGAAACATGGCTAGGAAACAATGTTTCCTGGTTTGTCCACCTTTGGGAAACATGGCTAGGAAACAATGGTCCCTGGTTTGCCCACCTTTGGGAAACATGGCTACATACATGTTCTAAATACATCAAAGTCAGTCAACTTCGCCACTTTTAGCTTTCAAGCATTCAGACTGGTGACGTATGCGTACCTGGCCTTTAATCCCGGCAGGTATATCAGCCCATCGGAAGAAGTTCCCCGGAATATTTGAACACCGGGCAGAAAACGTACGTATCGCACCTTGTGAAAATGTCCTTCGATAGATCTGAAGTTGTGATATCTCACCGGTAAACTGAAATATGAATTCGTTTACTTCATTATAGCGACTTTGTTGAGCGCCTATCACGAGTACACCATCTTTCGCAATGAAGGATTTGGCGAGACCGCGGTCTTTCATGGTTAGTTTGCCGTTGTGATAGCAATACAGAATGCCATTACTTGATGCATAGGAAATAATGAAGTGATGCCATTTTCTGTCCAGCAGCTTAGAACGCTCCAATGGAATAAACCTAAAGAAAAAGATGCTTCTCGAATTAACAATACACCGGTCCAATAAGAGATTATCCTTACTGGACCTCCAGGGAGAACAGTTTAGAACTGATAGAGCTGTCCAGTATAAATAAAGTTAGTTTAGGTTTCCTCCTGTAGTAACACTGGATCAATAAGAGATGATCCTTAGAGAACCTCTAGGAAGAACAGTTTAAAACAAGTCATACCTCAGGTTTCCATGGAGATAAACGCATATTCCAGTGGTTCCAAAATGAACACTGAACTCGTTCACTTCACTTGGTACAGCGTACGATATCAAAGTGAATTCATCGGCAGAAGACGGAATTTTGATCCAAAATGCGGCCGCGATTGAGTTGAATTTATTCAAGTATGAACTCGACGTGGAAATATAGCTTATGCTGTTGTGATTTTGTTCCGGAAATACGATGTCAAACTGACCTGATGAAATGAAAAGTTAAAAAAAATTGGCAATGAATATTAAGTCTGGTTGACACTGTGAAAGTTTCTGTGATCACAGTAGGATTTTTTCATGGGTAAATTCTAAGTTTTGCAGGATTTGTGAGAAATGTTTGAGGGAACTGACTTAATGTTTAACGCTGAATCATTTTCCTCAAACATTTCTTACAAATCCTTCAAAATTCCTACTGTGATCACAGAAACTTTGATAGTGTAAACCAGCCTTTATATTCACAGCTATTTTTAAAAAGGTCGACAAATTCACCATTTCGTGCTCCAACAATGGATAATTGCAGCTATAGACTAAATTTTGATCTCGGCAAGAAAAACTAGAAAGAGCATGTTAAAATCAGTAAAATTGCAAAGTTTGGTTGCGAAATGTTGTAAAGTGAGGAAAATATAGCCCTGCGAAATTTGCAAATTTTGTATTACGGGAATTTGCACCACTTTCGGCCCGAATATCCAAAAGTACAATTATTTGCGTAACCTAGCCAATAGAAAAAGGAAACAACTGAGGTCCAGCTATCTTGATAAAAAAATGGACCAGCTTAAATCTAATCCTAACCCGCAAAAGTGGTGGGATTGTTTAAAACAATTCGCAGGGTATCCGAAGAGAAAGGCAATATCGTCTATGGTCCTTGACAATGAGATTGTTATTGGAAATGTTTTAGCAAATAAAATTAACGACTTCTTCATATCAATTACTAATGAAATTACACCTTTACAGCCAGAATCTACAGAAAGTCAGTTCGAGTTTAATGAAAGTAACATTCATCCCCAATTTATTATTGACGAAGAAAGTGTGTATATAATAAATTGTCTGATATATGTGTCTCGAAATCGTCAGGTTCAGACGGCATCCCAAATTGGGTACTTAAACATTATGCTTATATCTTAGCCTTACCAATTGCCTCACTTTTTAATGCTTCGATACAGCAACAGCACGTTCCTGCAGTATGGAAAGACGCTGAAGTTATTCCAATACCAAAAATATCGGTACCTGCAGACATAACAACCGATTTGCGTCCTATTTCATTGACACCCACTTTGTCTAAAATCTGCGAATCGTTTGTATCTGATTGGTTGATTAGTTCAATCAAGAACAAAATTGATAAGAGGCAATTTGGCTCTTTGAAGAATTCCTCAACGACTAATAATTTAATTAGTTTGGTACATCACTTATTAAAGGAAACTGATGCGTCAAAGTGCGCCGTTAGAGTGTTTCTTCTTGACTTTTCTAAGGCTTTCGACCTGATAGACTACAACATTTTGTTGCATAAATTATTGGAATTGAACGTTCCCCCAAATATTTTTAATTGGATTAAAAGTTTTTTAACTGGACGGAGGCAATGTGTGAAGCTGGGTAGTTGGTCTTCGAGTTGGAAAGTTTTAAACGGAGGAGTACCGCAGGGAACTGTTTTGGGTCCTGTTCTTTTTTTGGTTATGATCAACGATCTCCTCGATGAATGGCCCGACCGATGGAAGTATGTAGATGATAGTACGGCTACTGAAAGTGTCATGGTTGATTGTAGCAGTAATCTTCAGGATCTCGTCGACTATATCTATAATTGGACGGTTACAAATAATATGAAACTTAATGTCACTAAATGTAAAGAAATGATCCTTGACTTTGGTAGGGTAAAACGGAATTTCCCAGCATTATTAATCGAGAACACTGAGGTTGAACGTGTAAATTCTGCCCAAATTCTCGGCGCTACGATCCAAACCAAAATGAATTGGAATGAACACGTTAATAAAATTGTTAAGAAATCTGGGAAAAGATTGTATATGCTCAGGTTATTGAAACGAGCCAACGCTGACACTAGAATGTTATCCATCGCATTTACCACTATTATAAGGCCAGTCTTAGAATACGCTTGCCAAGTTTGGCACTTCAACATTCCAGGTTATTTGAATGATGATATTGAAAGGGTTCAAAGAAGAGCTTTGAAAATTATTTTACCAGAAATTAGCTATAACGATGCACGCGAAGTTATTAATATTCCATCCTTGAAAGAACGACGTGAGATTTTATGCGAACAGTTCTTTTTGAGAGATGAGAACCTTCAAAAATTGGATGAATTTTTACCTAATAAATCCTCTTCGGTCTATGATACGAGGGGAAATTGTAAATATAATAATTATTATTGTAAAACAGAACGTTTTAGAAAATCCTTCTTACCACAAATTATTTCGAAATTAAACTGTAAATAGTAGTTTACTCCTTTATATTTAATTATTTGTAGTATAGCTGATGTAATTTAACCTTCGGTTACAAAATCAGTAAATATATTTAATAATAATAATAATAAATGTGGGGCGTTTTCCCGTGCGTGATACAAATTAATACAAAATTTGCAAAATTCGTAGGGTTATATTTTCCTCATTTTACAACATTTCGCAACCAAACTTTGCAATTTTACTCATTTTAACATGCTCTTTCTAGCTGTGGTGATTGATTTTGTTCTTCTTGCCTAGATCAAAATTTAGGCTATAGCTCGAATTGCCTATTCACTACTATTCGACTTTCATTTCTTAAAGGAAAGTTATCCTTACCCGGTCGTTGGCGACAAGTAGACGGAACAGTAAGACTTGTTTGGTAACTTTGCTCCATTAAACGTTTCCAAGAAAATATATCTCCAGCAGCATTTCCAGGATTTAAAGCCAGCGACACAATCATATTCCCAGTAAACGCCACGGACCACAAGTTCAGACTTGTAATGTCACCAACAAAAGTACCATCACCGATTCTGATGGTACAATTATGAATTTCAAGCATGGTGACGTTTAACCTTAGATCTCGTTTTGTCTGCATATAAGAGCCGTGTTTGTACTGGTGGATCTTATGGTTGGGTTTCGCCCGTTGAAATATTAGATGAAACCAGTTATCATCAGTTATCACATTTGGATATGACCTGAAAAGTAAGTCAGTGTTTGATTCTTAATGGACATACGACATACTACGTAAAAACGCACAAGTTGTAACAAACCTGCAGCAGACTTGTAGCAATGCTGTTCCAACAACTTGTCAACAGGATGTGTTCCCAGCTTGTTGACAAGTTGTCAACGGCTTGTTTACAGCTTGCTACAAAGTTGTTGAGCTCAACAGACTTGTTACAAGTTGTTTCAACAACTTGTTATCGTCCTGCAATTCAACAATTTGTCAACAAGTTGTGAGTGACAACCTTGTAGCAACTTGATAAAATAACAGAATTGTTACAACTTGTTGACAAGCTTGCCACAAACCTGTTGCGAACACATCTTGTTGACAAGTTGTAAGATTTTTATATGTGTATATGACGTAACTGTTCTCATCTGAACATTCATAACTTAAAACTTACAATTTAACTGTTGAGTTAGAACAATTAAAGAGAAATTCAAATCTCAGACCACGTCGCTGTAGCTTCAGTACTGTTCCACGTCCAGAGTCCAGTTCAAATATCGTTGCGTCTTCACCATGACTCGTATTTACTCTTATCCACATTGAGAGGGAAAATGTGTCCAACGGGGGAATATATGGGATGTCTATGGTCACATCTGGATTGCCAGGAAATCGCAAATCAAAGTTTCCTAAAAGACAAATGTATGGAATATTACAATATTGAGAGAAAATAACAAAATTATTTTTCGTGACTATTTTACCTTGAATTCATTAAGACGTGTTGTCGTGTGAAACAATATGTCTTTATGACTGAAAAATCATACAAGATAAATCCTGAAGTAGTCATTTCCTACTGCAATGAAATTTTCATTCCGAATTGTTGTAATTTGGGTATCGAGTTTGTAAATTAGGTATTCAATCATTCCAATAATTAGAATTCAATCAGTGGAATAATATCTAGAATTCAATCAGTGGAATTTTCAGAATCAACTATCAAACATAAAAACATGTCTGTGAGAATTTCTGCAAAAATGTAGATCTCAAAAATATTTTGGGAACTAGATCCCAGGTTGTGATACTTTTTCCACGCCCGGCTAATGTTACTCTTATCGGCCTCTAAACAACGCCTACCTAAATCAGGTTCTTTACTTGGCGTGACCAATGCAGACGTATTAGAGCTCGCATCAGGCTGATAAAATTCTGTCCAGTCTACACGAAAGTCTCTGGTAACCTCAGAAAAATACGGTTCATTAAAAAGACGAAGTATTTCATAGTTTGCCAATTCAGATTTATCCACCACATATAATCTGGTCACAGTTAAATATGAGCTTGAGTTTCTGTCCACAACACCAGGAGAAATTTGCTCAAATGCTGGTACCATTGTGCCTGTTCCTTCAATGGTTATTTCTTGTGGTAACACAGTGGTGTTTTGCTGTTGTAAGTTGTTGTAGACGAATTTGGTTATGTTGACAGTGTTGTACAGTAAGCCGTTGTGATAGACCTGCAGCATGATCTTCTTGTACAAGATAAAGCAAATTTGACTCCACTTCTTCACTGGGAGAGTGATGTTCAAAGATCTGGAAAGAATCATTTTAGTTTAACAAGATTTTATACAAGAAGATGCTATATAGTTCAACTTGCTTGCAGGAAACATAAAGAATATTGTATGGTGCACATGTAAAAATCTCACAACTTGTCAACAAGATGTGTTCGCAACAGGCTTGTGGCAACCTTGTCAACAAGTTGTAACAATGCTGTTATTTTATCAAGTTGCTACAAGGTTGTCACTCACAACTTGTTGAATTTCAGAACGATAACAAGTTGTTGAAACAACTTGTAACAAGTCTGTTGAGCTCAACAACCTTGTAGCAAGTTGTCGACAAGCCGTTGACAACTCATCAACAAGCAGTGCGAACACATCCTGATGACAGGTAACATATGAAATGTATACTAAAACTGTCTGTACCAGTGTAGGTAGTACCAATGTAGAAATGCTGCGCTGAGTGGTTATATTACTACCTTAAAAAATAAGCAGAAACTCGACGTTTCGAGCGAAGGCCCTTCGTCAAGGCAAGTGCGATACAGTGTTAAAGTACGGCACAATTCTTGAACAATGTTACTTAGGGACCGATCATTATTTATGGCGGGGGTGGCACCGAAGAGAAATGTTTTTCGTGGCAAAAATTTTGCTGACTCAACCATTAAAAAGTAAAAAAAATTGATTACCCAACCTCAAATATCAATTAAAAAATAAATACCCACCCCTGGCCAAAAAAATTACAAAAGGTACCACTCAGTTGTCACGTATGTCCTTTACCATTTCTGTGACATAAGTTTGATAACGGATTGTGAAATTTCCTGCAGTCTAAAAATTTTCATGTTGTCTGCACATGTACTTTCTTTTGAGATCCCATCGGAAATTGATCAAGATAGTGACTCTGATTGATTCACATATTGTATTGACATATGACGGCCTACTCTGGAGTGGTGACTCGCTTTAAATCGCAGGTCAAAATTGATCAAAGTTCTATTATTAACCGCCTAAAACTGCCCAAACGCATAATGATTAAATCGCCAACAGGAAAGTATATATATATATACATATATAATTGTTTTCTTAAATCGCCCTATATCGCTCAAACTCGCGTTGCTTAAAAATTGCAGATTTTGCTTAAATCACCTAAAATTGCTTAATTTAAACTCACATTATCTCGTTATCGCTTTTTAGTCCCCAATACTTCAGTGAGTCATGCTTTGGAAATTACAATAATTTTTTATTACCCAACCCTTGAGCTATTTTGTTTTTCATTTACCCAACCTTTTACTTACTCAAAATTTAGTTTACCCAACCCTTTTCTCTTCGGTGCCACCCCCCACCTTAAATAATGACCGGTCCCTTACATGACTTGACCTCCCAAATGTAGCACGACATTCGTTTCATTAAACAACAGCGCCATTTCCCTGGGATTACTGTCTGTGGCATAACTAAACACTACACCATCACTAGAACTTGGCTTCACCCAGACATACACAGCGAGATATTGGAAATCTTTTCCCGTTACCGACACTGACGTGTGATCATTCATTGTACTCGCGGTGTAGTTGAGAAGAAAATTTCCTAAAATAAAATGTCAAATTTGTTATTAGTTTCTTATGTAATAACACTGGATCAATAAGAGATTATCGTTACTGGACCTCTAGGGAGAACAGTTTAGAACTGGTAGAACTATCCAGTATAAATAAAGTTAGTTTAGGTTTCCTCCTGTAGTAACACTGGATCAATAAGAGATGATCCTTACTGGACCTCTAGGAAGAACAGTTTAGAACTGATAGAGCTATGACCTCTAGGAAGAACAAGTTAGAACTGGTAAAGCTATCTAATATCAATAAAGTTAGTTCTTCTTCAACGTACCTACTTTTCGTTTCCCGCAAAAGTTTCCAGTGAATAAAGAAGTGCATTTACAACTCATGTGCGGAAATGATAATGTCTCGCAATTTTCTTGGCAGCTGCCGCCATTTTGACATCCTGCAGTTTCACACAATGACTCGGTCTGAAATCATTCCAGAACTGCACATTAAAGCCTGCCGCACACGAGAGCTATCTGCTGAGCAAAAAGTTACTCGTGCCTGTTAGCTCAGCTGATAGCTCACCGATCAAACATGTTTGATACGTGAGAAAAGGTTGCATGAGGCAAAAAACTCAGTAAAATGTACCCGCACACGGTGAGCTATCGGCTGAGCTAACAGGCACGAGTAACTTTTTGCTCAGCAGATAGCTCTCGTGTGCGGCAGGCTTAAGCCTGCCGCACACGAGAGCTATCTGCTCAGCAAAAAGTTACTCGTGCCTGTTAGCTCAGCCGATAGCTCACCGTGTGCGGGTACATTTTACTGAGTTTTTTGCCTCATGCAACCTTTTCTCACGTA